TCAAAGGAGACAATTGAGTATAAATTCTATTATCATGAAGAAAGTCTTCATCTCACGACATATCGTCTTCTTAGAGAAAATGTTTACTCTAGGAGAGGATAGTGGGAGTAAAATAGAATTTTTGAAAGAGTTCAAAAGTCCACAGATATAGTTAACCAAGTAGATAAATCTGAGTTTGATCCCATATCTGATATGGGACATACTTTGAATCAGGAAATAAAGACTTCTGAGGACATGACAGCTCTATGTGAATCTAGTAGGCCCATTCGACCTTCAAGAAGGTGCGAATCATTAATCAGTGATCAGGATAATGAACCTGCTAGTTGCAACAAAATAAAGTCAAGTGTTGACTTAAAAGAGACAGCAAGAGGCCATGAAACTCGACACAAGTGAACAAGGTTTGGACCTTGGTCATGCCTCCTAATGGAATAAAGCCCATAAGCTTTTGTAAATAGTTTACAAAAGAAAAGGTCGATATGGATATGAATATCCATATATACAAACCAATGCTAGAAGCAAAGGTTAAATGTTGACCTTGGTGAAATAGTTCTCCTATAGCCTTGCTTAAGTCCATTCGGGTTTTGTTTGCAGCAGTTGCATATCGTGACTATAGGTTAAGAGAAGTCTCTTGGAGCTGAAATCTTAGATTTGATGAAAAGTTGAAGTTTTTGATTTTATCAAATTTGAAAACGAATTATGTGTTTACAAGAAGATAGTGGGAGCATTTTTTCATATTCCTAGAAAACGATATCCCTATGTTTCAATCGTTGAAATAATGGTTGTTAAAGGATTTATTCATAAACGATATGGGATAAACAACTTGATCTATAGAGGTAGATCTAGAAGATTGCTTAACTCATCCCAATTTACATAGATGAAATCTTGAGAAGATTTCATATGGAGAAATTAGTTTACTCTTAAGCGGTATGTTGGAAATGTTTCAAACGTGAAGCAGCCGTTGATTCAATAGTAGAAACCTAATACATGGACACTTCAGAAGTAGCAAAGAGTTGCAATATGGATCATGATGTTCATAAATGAACTTGGAGTAGTTCCTGATATTGTTGATCACATACAATAGTATTGTGATAATAATAGAGCCATTGCGAAAGCAAAGGAACTAATGTCTCATCAATGATCCAAACATGTATTAAGGCGGTATAATCTCATCAAAGAGATAATACATAGAAATGACGTAAAGAAAAGAGCAAATTTCCACATTTAATAATGTTGCAGATCCACTGACAAAGAGTTGTCATAGTATAAACATGATCGTCATGTAAACTTATGATATTTGATACATAAGTGATTGGATCTAGTGCAAGTGGGAGTTTGTAAGTATTATGCCCTAGGTCCAATTAACTTTGGACATAAATACTTTTATATATAATTAATGCAATTAAATGGCAGATCTATTATTTAATTAATAGACAATTAAATAAATAATAGAGTCCGTAGATTCAAATATTTGTAATTTGTTTATCACAAGGAGTTGTGATTGTGAGATACAAATTACATCTGATTGAATCTTAAATCATCCGTGGTCGTAAGTAATAACGAGATACGGATATCGTTATTACGGATAGA